TATGATTTCGGGACTACGCCTAAGGAGTAGGAGTACCGGAAAAGACGCGTTAGAACCGGTGCCAACTCCGGAGCACACGTCCTCAGCACAATTGGGGGAATTCTGTTAGGCCCACTTGACTTGTGGATGTCCAGGGAGAGGAGTGCTTTGCGAACCGAGCGCTGTGAGAACCGCACATCCGGCATAGAGCGCTCACACCGCGGGATGGTCGGCGGTGTTTTCCCCCCGTCATCAAGAGTCGAGTTGGACGCAAAAAGGGAGCCTAAAAGGTCGGCTTTCTCTTTTGCGGCTTGGGCCAGTGAGTCGTCCTCCCTGTGCAGAGATGGTAGTGTTGTCAATGAGATCAGCAATCTGCATGAGAGATATGGCGATTATTTCATAACAGTGGATTGATAATATTGATGATGCCGTGTGACGGCGGCCTAAGAATAAGTTCTCATCAAGCAGTCAAACGTACTATAATCGCCAAACGTGGTGATTACAAGCAATCCTCTCCACCGTGAGAAATGTCCAGCAGTTCAGTTTATTGGTGAAGAAGATTATCACAATGATAAATGGAGTTAATAAAAATCTGCCAATGGGTGTTGAGTCGAATTCATGTGTGATAAGCATACCGTGGACCGTGTAGATGCAGTACCGATGTAAGAATAGCCACTACCACATATAGCCCGTGGATGTTGTAAGAGCCGACAGAGGAAAGCTGGAACAGGAGATGGGCAGCAGCATCTTCCTGATAACAACTCAATAAATAACTGCGGTTGCCAACTCTCCCGCCACGCGTGGCAACTATGGCAAAATCCCCTCTATGAGTTCCGGTGGTAAAATCAGAATTGCAAATTGAAATACAAAAAAAAAATACAAATCGTATACATTTATTTTAAAAAATATTTTTTTGTGATGAGGTGATCCCAGAATTCATTACGCAAACTTTACACGCCGCTCTCATACATTTTATATGAAAAAGTTTTGAAGCAGCACCATGCCTGCACCGCGGCTGTGACTTGCTTTCGCATTATGCCACTTCTGTATAATTTGCGCCTAAAGTTTAACGCAGGCGACGGGCCTGTGTAATTTCATCTAATTTATTAAATTGATTATATGTATAGTTTATCGTGATTCTGTTAATTGTGATTATTCCAGTAGAAGAAACAAAAGAAAGTATTCTGTGGTAAAGAATGGAAAAAATAAAAACGGTCCAGAACTCCATGTCCAGTTGAAACGTCTGATTCATAATAGACAAGAAAAATCATACTAATTAGCGAACAAACTAATAAAAACAAAATGAAAAGAACATGGACGTATAAATAAGGCGGACTGAATGTCGCTACACAATTCAACGAGGCACCCATAATAAGTCAGCTCACTTCTACGTACAAGGGGTCACGCACACATTCATACTAATAATAAGTCTAGCGCCCGCCATCACGCCCGACAACAAGCGTCGTCCGCGAGAAGTAGTTGTCGTAAGTAAAAACAAAAATCAATATGCCGTCTTGCGTCGTTAAATTTTGTAAAAATCATAGTGGTTTTATCAAAAATCTTAAAGGAATCACCTTTCATAGGTGTGTCAGTAATTATAATCACTTATTTGGGAAGTTTATGTCTTAAATTAAAATGCTATTTTTGAAACACAAAACATGAGTCACGTGATCAGTGTTGTTAATTATTTATAGGGAAAAATTACCCGAAATTTGGGAAATTGCTATTTTTACCCACGTTGACACGGATACGGTATAAATGTTTGCCTAACAACCTCTTTAGGTTGTTTTATGTGCACTTTTTTATTACAATTTACCTGAAAAATTACCCGATCGATTATAATGCGGTTATATGCATTTTTTGGCCATATTCCATTATGTTGTGCTGTAATCGGGATATTTATTTTTTACTATGTTACCATTTCCTGACAATTTGACCGATTATAATACGGTTAAGAAGGTTTTTAAATCTGTTTTACTATCATAGTCCACTACAAAGTGCTGCAATCGTGATTTAATTTTTTGTGTGCCATGTTTAACTTAGTATATAAATCTCATATCGAATCAAAATTAGAAATGTATTATTCCAGCAAAAGAAAAGTAAAGTCAGATGGGAGGTTAACATTTGTTATTACTAGGTATCATATATCTTTAATAAGAGCTAAGTGCAAAACAGCTTACCTTGACACTTAATAAATACAGAAAGCTTAAAATATTTGTATGAAAAATATATTCCTAATGAAAAAAAAATGTACCTGCCAACCTACAAACTAAGCCAGGATCGTTTAGAAATATTTTTTCATGTATTCGAATGCAAGGTGGCTTTAATGACAACCCTAATGCCAGACAGTTCAAAAGTTGCTACAGAAAACGGCTGGCATATCTAGAAATTAGATGCTTAACTACAGGAAATTGTGTTCTTTGGAACAATTAGTTGTGCTTAATTGCACTTCGACTACTCAGGTAATACATTCCACTACATCATCATACCGTCACGAAGATGATGATAGTATTTGTGATTCATTATCATTTTTAAATGAAATTACTGAAGAAGATAATGAGCTAGCTAAGCGACTAGGGGTAGAATCACATTATGACTATTGTAAGTTAATAATGGGATATCTGACGGGTAACGTTGCTTATTATGCAACAAGAAAAATTAAATGCCAAAAATGCACCGCGCGTTTGTAATATGTAGAAAAGCATTTCTTTCATAACTTAATAAATTTGAAAACTTTAGGAGGTTTACGTTTTCCACATAACGATTTATTCAATATATTTTGTACTTGCGAAATGGTTGTACGAAATATTATTAAGGAAAACATTACAATGTACAATGAAAGGCAACAAAAGTATTTACTTACAAAAATGTTAGAAAAAATTATTGCCAATGACAGGGTTTTTGTAAGCTTGGAATTTGAGCAAACATTCGCAGGGATAGAGCAGAAGATAAGTCTTATTAAATATATAGCAGAAAAATATTTGGCTATTCGATTACACCATATTTCTAAATTAGAGGGGATTTCAAGAACCTTCGAAAGTAAAAGACAGTTTTAATTAGTTTAAAAAAGGTTTTTAACATTGTTGTTTGTCATGAAAATAAGTAAATTACGATAATTATTTATGACTTATTGTCATAAACAATAACTATGATTTACACTTGTAGAAAATTTTAAGAAATAAATATATTCACTTTGACCTCTTTGTATATTTACGAAAATTTAATGTAAGTATTTGTCTTTAGTAATGTACATTCTGTAAGTTTAAAATTTTTCTAAGCAAAATTTGTTTAGTAAGGATTATTACGGTATGAGAATGAGGTGATCGCTACCATGCTGTTTCTAAATGTTTTCATACTAATTCTAAAATAATATATTGTAAATTAATTTTATATGAATTTTTTGGTTACCTATAATATGTTTATTTGTTGTACATTTCGTTAATAAATATTTATAATATATTTCGTTCGAATAATTTAATACAATTTTTGTATAATATAATGTTTTTTAATAAAATTAATTTAAATCGAAATTGATTGAAATAGAATAATTCGATTTCAATCGAAATCTAAATCTTAAATTTTTAGATTTTTTAATCGTCAAATATGTTATTTATATTACTTAAGGAATAATAAATTGGTATTTCGTCAAAGTTGTTATATTTTGACAGATTGTTTACTAAAAAATAATGGGGAAATTTTGTTTCACATGACAACCCTATATAACACGCAAACATACTTGCACCGCCGCCATTACAGTGCATCAGTCCTTTCTTAACAAAATTCTGTCCGCTTTATTGATACGTCCATAGAAAAGAACTTGAAGAATAATTGATAAATGACAATAACAAATAAAAAGATAACATTTTGTTTGTTCCTTCACCTCGATTAATTCTTTGAAGGAAAAGATAATATAAGTAAGGTAAGGTAACAAGAAAAGGTGCGTAATGAAACACGTAGTATATTGCATCAATTACAGAGAAGCTCATAAGCTTTGTCTGATCCGTAACGGTGGTATTTGCTCAGGGGATCAAAGTCTAGTAGAATATTTTTTCTATCTATTCTCTTATTTATTCATTGTGTGCTCTTGGCATAGAGTTGCGAAACCAAAACACATATTATACTTACAATATTCTGAGAGATCAATAATTCCCACCACTCTTGGCTTTATTACTCTTGGCTGACTGCCTTTGGTTTTTTTTAACTTTTATACAGTTTTTTTATGAATGTGACTTTTAAACTTATTAATTGACGAAACATTATAAACTCTCTGGGGTTTTTTATTAAAGCGTATACAGTGCCCCAATTTACTAAATTACTTAATTCTGGGGGATTAAGTGTTGCATATACATGATGATTATATCGTCATTGTCGTGACCATGACATTTTTCTGACATTTCATTTAGTCGCCATGGTATGAAATGGAGTGATGATTACTCTTGCCACCACTTATCTGAGAGGTTGATGAGGTTGCAATAAATCCTTAAATTTAAAAAGAGAAAACAATATAAACAACCTATAAGAAAATGAATATTGTCTCAAAATGTTGTTGAAAAAAATCAAACAAAAAAAATAATAATACACTTACTTTACTTCTCAGATATAAAAATACATTCTAATACAAATGTATGTTACAAGTATTTAGCATTATGACAATAACATTTAGAAATTATATTTAAAAAGAATCTTAAACATAACAGTAAAATGTGTAATATTTGTTTAACTAAAGCACCGTACTCAACGTAGCTTAATATTATTATGCAATGATAGAATTATGCGTATTGTCGATTGTACTTATACGGAATGTTCTTATGACTTTAAATGACAGTTCTTCTTATTTAAATTTTATTACACATTAAAACAAAGGTTTCGAATATAGTATGTATAAATCCACATTCATTTGATTAACAACCCTAGCATATTTTTTTCATAACAAATAACCTTTTAAATTTTTCAAAATTAATTTGCGAACCACAGCTTCCATCCTTCCTTTTGCTGCCTTACAGTAGCAATCGTATATATGCCTACTTAGAAAGTTTGCCGACCTCGTAGAGATAAGCCGCAAACAGCTTGATCTGAAAGGATATAACTCATATCAAAGTTACAATATTACAACATTGTACACACAGTTTACATGATATAATTATTTTATACTATTTTATATTGTTGTACTCCTTAAATAAATGGCACCAAATTTTACAATTAATAATTATAATATTTGCTTTTCTTCTTCCGAATATGGTCATAATATTAAAAAAAATGTTCTGAATATAGTCAGAACAATTTTTTTAATATGTAAATATTTAATGGTACCTATTCCTATTTTAAATTCCAGGTTCCTATTTTTTATTGTTTCTATCTTTTGTCACTTTCTACCGTAAAGATTGTAGCGTGGACCTATCGGGTCGAACATATTTTATTGTCTTTGTTATCTTAACGCAGTTGAATTATGTGTAACGCAACTCAATAGCGATACAGATGCAGCTGGACAGGACAGCTCGATTAGTCATCAGTATACAAACAAGTGCGATATGTTACAATATCTAACAACAGAGACATGACTCGTTTTGGCTTTGAATGAAATGAGTAAAACTGATGTAATCGGAATAACTCATGTAGGAATAGAGGCCCCAAGTTGAATCAATCACGAAGCTTCTCATCTTAAAACTTCCATGAAACGTAGATTCATATTTTACACGTGGCCTTTAGTATTGTCTAATTCGCTTTGAAATTAAGCCGACTCTGGGTGTAAATGTATCATAAGAGAAGAATTAAAAATTTCATTCTTCTCTTATGATACAGGCTGATTGTTGATCGCTGCTCCGATAGTAATACGAGGCAGAGATATCACACCTTCGATGCTGCTTACTGTCGCCGGTCTGGATATTTTACAGCTACTATATCTACATCTATCCTCTATTAAAAATCAAAATGCGATGCGTTGTCATTGTCACCCCTGAGGACCGAGATGGAATGCATGAAACTTCGATAATGGCCTTTAATTCTTTAAGTATCTTAATGTGAGTTTTGTTTTATAAAACAACGTGACAAACGAGCACACAGTCCACTTAATAGTAAGTAGTTTCTCTGGCCTATAGACTTCCACATCTATCCTCAGTTTTAAGAATTAAAATGCATATGCGTTGTCACCACTGAGGACTAAGATGGAGTGCCCCGTTTCCAGTAAAAAGGGTCTCCGGTTTTTTACACTCACCATACGAAGCGCAGCGTCATTAAAGCTGCTACTTTACGCAGGTATTCTGTGACATGGCTGGCAAGCTGGAAACTTTTGATAGGTAGAGATAAAAAGCAAGGTTAGGACTCACGCCCTCGATATAGTTGCGCAGGTTGAGCTTCTCGTTCTGCGAGTGCGCCATGTCGTCGCCGGCGCCCATGGGCAGCAGCAGCACGTTGCGCCCGCTCGCCTCCTGCAGCGTGATCGTCACCGGGATCGAGCCGCCCTCGCGCGACATGTCCGGGTCCGTCTGCCGGTGCAATATCAAACTATATTTATTACGTTCATCAACAACACAAGCAAAATCGTTAAAGAAGTAATTTAAAAAAAAACCAACTGCGTAAGAAAACTTATATATAAATAGTATATAGCCCATGTCACTCACACAATGAAAACGATTTGAATGACACCTCATAAGTTAATATCCACCAAGCCCTTTAGGCTACAGAGCGTGCCAAAGAAACAGACATACACACACACACATACATTATCTTGAAAAACATCATTCTCCTTCTGGGGCATTGGGATTATAATACACTGTGTAGCAGTTGAAAGACCAATCCTTAAAGATTATATATTCTTAATGATATCTTAATAATCGATGGTCACGGCATACAATCATTATCTTTACAAATAAATAAAATGGAAGTGTCTGTTTGTAATGTCGAAATAACAGCTTTTTACTAAATGCATATGAAAGTATATACGGTCCTTGTAACAAAAACACAATTTTTAACATTTTTATCTATCTGTCTGTCTTGTTTGTTGCGGCTAATCTCCGAAACGGTTAGACCCATTTCGACGGGATTTTCACTGGCAGATAGCTAATGTTATAAGGAGTAACTATGATTACTTTTATTTTAGAAAAATAATTAGGGTTCCGCGCAAAAGAAAACCTCCATAACATCCCATCGTAATAAATTCCCATTAAATGAAGACGTTACATAACATTAAAAAGTTACGAAAAGTAAGTTACGTAAAATGAATGGAAATTTATTTCAAGTCGTTATTAATAGAAACAAATTCCTTTTTTCCTTTTAAGTTATGTTAAAAGAATTTATTACAACCGACATAGGAGAACTTAAAATTTTAATAAGTATAGACATGAATTCAACGCTCATTTTTAATAAAATAGAAATATCAAACAAGTGTGCAGTTCATTTAATGACCACTGCAGCTAATGGACAAATGTACCAAGTATAAACAAAAAAACGCTACAAAAGTACTGTCACGCGAGTAGCCTACTTTATAATCAGTGATTAAACTGGCCTTCCCTTCTTCAAGCCAGAACACAGCAGTGGATGCAATACCCTGAATCCGATAAAGCTGTGAAAACAACTTCCTGGCTCACAACACAAACATTGCCAAATGCAGACTATTTTTAACCGACTTCAAAAGGAGGAGATACTCAATTCGACTGTATTTGTTTTATGTGTATTACCTCATAACTTTTTTCTAGGTGAACCGATTTTGATGATCCTTTTTATTTGAAAGCTGGCTCTCAAGTGGTCCCATATAAATTTGTGACCAATAATTTGAGACATCCTTAATAATTTTATTGAAGTTGGTTGTACAATTTTTTTTTTAATTTTACTACTTGTTTTAAAGAATGTAATAGCGATCCACCCCGGCTTCGCACGGGTGATTTCTGTATCTCGACAAAAGCGCCACCTAACGGGTCCAATTGTGAATCTAAACTATTCTAGAATCAAATTAATCACACACACAAAATTTCATCAAAATCGGTCCAGCCGTTTAAGAGGACTTCAGTCACATACACACGGACAGAAGGTATATATATAAAGAAGATAAAAGACAAACGAGCACAAAGTTCACCTGATTGTTAGTAAATACTGGGCAATTAAGAATCAAAACGCACTACCTCGTGAATACTGTGTTAGATTTCCAGCTGGAGCTACATTTGTGCAAAAACACGAAATAAACACAAGTTATTGAAGTTTGCATAAAAATTTATTATATGATTGTATCCCACTCTCTGAGATTATATTTCAGTCCCACTTCCGATATTATCGAATACAAATAGATCAAGACTAGAGGCTGCTCCCGGGTTAGAGTCGGTATTCATGGCACTACAATATCTCCTGCACAGTTCAGCTTTCCATAATATTCCGTAGTTGTCTCCTAATATAGAAATTAGTAAAATGGAACATCACCTGATAAATGAGTTTGGTGGCCCGTGCAGCAGCCTGGTAGTGCGGATGGTCGGGGTTCTCGGTCCACGCGCGTCCACTCTGCGCTGATATGCTCATTTTGTTCGGGGAACCGCGTTCCGCCCACTGCAACACAACATAATTTAAAAAATGATGACGCAATTGTACATTTGCAAAGTATTTGTAATTACGACAATCGGACTTATGCCACAAACTTTACAGCACAGAAGGCCACAGATGCTTAGCCAATCACCTGCTCCTCAAGGGGTTAAAATCAAGGTTCTTCTAGCCTCTTGAGGAGAGGGTGATTGGTTTGTCAGCTCTTCTAATCAAAACACAGAATAATGATTTCTAATATTTACACAAATACAGAACAGCACGGCGATTCTTTCCTTCTACATTCTTTCATAAAAGCTGGTATAAATGTTACCGCTGGTAGCTCAAGCAGGGCCCTCGCCATAAAATTGATAATTATCAATTATCAAGCTCAGAGTTCCGTGCGCGTTGCTCGTTCCGCCGAAATTGTTAATTGCGAATTTAAGAACACTTGCTCGAAAGCTGCATGACAAAAAACATAAAATATGTAGGTGCATATTCCTTGTTTGTTCAACCTGTACCTACTTTAATAAATAGGTTGAATTTCACGAGTGGTACAATATAAATTTGGAGAAAAAATCCCACACCTAAGTCAAATAAAATGACAAGACAAATGGGGTAGTATCCTTGATGATCTACGTTGTTGAATAGGCCACCACTTTAGTAGACTGCAGTAATCAGAAATAATGGCATCATTTTCTGAGTCCAAAATGAACCTAATAACTGCATTAGGATTAAGGAGACGTTTTAATTTGTTAACAAAAATTTGATTGGCATCAGAGCAACAAACAATAGCATATTCGATGATGGGAAGTACCAACAACTACCTTAGCAATAACTTGGGGCACGATGAATGAGAGAATTTCTAGCCATTTTGTATTTAGAACAGTTTTCTTCAAAACGGTAACGCGGAATGCTCAATTCGTCAAGCCAAAGCGTCACGAACATATGGAGTAATCCAAGGAACAGGGGCTCGCTTGGTAACACACGACAAATCGTTGCATGAACATCATAAAGGCGTTGGGTCGCTACATTTAAATCTACTCAATTTATATGTTGCGATCAAAAATTATTTTAATCAATAGCGGTTATAGGTGTCAGACCAATTTAATAAAGATTTCATTTGGCAAAATTTCGGTGCTAATTTATTGCAGGATTTCTTTTAGAAATTTACAAATTTTATGACAAATACAGCAGATTGTGTTCGAAGAAGCCTGGAGCGAGGATCTGAGCATCTTCGATGGTCAGGAGATGAGAATATAATCAAGTTAATCCATGAATCTGTGTATGTAAGCAGTATTTAAATTATGATGAGTAGGTTTCAGAGTAGCGCAAAGTAATTGAGAAATTAGCACAATCCATGATTGTGTAAAGTTCTCGCACACGAGACGAACTTTCAAATATTTTAGTACCAAAATGAAAATTTGACTTTTAAAATCTTTTGTATAACTTATAACATTCCAATTACTTATTGATTGTCCCACACAGCTTCGATACATATCAATTTACGCACTTCATAAATTATAACTACAGGCAGTGACAACATATTTATTTACGTACCAAATGATTAACTATTGTCCGTGATACTGAACATCCGTGCTGTTATTGTACCATTATTTTACATTATTGTTCGTATAAAATGTTTAAATAACTTTTTAAAGGATGGTTCATATTATTTGATTTAAGAAGATATCTGGTCTAAGAAGAGATTTTCACGAGTTTAATATTATTGCCGCGCTGTGGCCGAACGCCCGGCCGAAGCCCAGCTCGGCGGGCAATAGGTAAGAGTGTGGACAGACTGCTGCAGCTCGAACTAAAAAATTACGAAATCATCATTCCGTATTTCCCTGTTTCCTCCTCCAAAACTGAACCGATTTTTTAAGAATAGTATAAGAAGGACTGTGACTAAGACCATGTGTTTTTATTTTATTTATTTTTTTGATCGTTTAATTTATTTGCAGGGTGTCTTATATCGGTGATATAACTGGCCAATTTTAGTAATTTTAAAAGTTTGCTAGTTTTCAAAATATTTAATATATTAAAAAAAGCATAGGCGTTGTGTGATTGTTATACACTCGTGGAACAATTTAGAGGAACACGAAAAAAAATAGTTTATCTTGTAATCATCGTGCGTACGAACCACAAATACCGTACTGCGGGCGTAGGTATCGAATATTTTCCTGAAAGTTAATAAATTAATGGATTATGTATAATGGATTAAATTATTTTGGAGAATAGGGAGGCGATGGTGATAAGCCTGCAGTTGGACGGGTCTGATCGGTCGCCATTTCGGGATTGAGTGCGCTAAAGCTATCTTGCATATGTTCAGGATTACGCCTAGGGAGTAGGAGTTCCGGAAAAGACGCATTAGAAACAGTGCGAATTCAGGAACACACGTCTTCAGCACAATAGGAGGGACTCCATCACGTCAACTCGTTTTGTTGACATCCAGGGAGACGAGTGATTTCCACACTGAGCACTGTGTAAATCGCACATCCAGAATGGAGCATTCACACCGCGGGATGGTTGGCGGTGTGTACCTCCCGTCACCGAGAGTCGAGTTGGACTCAAAAAGAGAACCTAAAAGATCTACTTTCTCCTTTGCGGAGTGGGCCAGTGAGTCGTTCTCCCTGAGCAGAGATGGAACCGATGGCGAGACAGGTAGATTAGTTTATTTCAGTTATTTCCATAGCATAATGTCTTATTGGATTTTGATATGGGGAAATACGGCTTATTTAGAAACTATTTTTGTTTTGCAGAAGAGGGCCATAAGAGCTATTTACTAACTTTAAACCGAGTCTTAGAGAAAAATTTTGTTGTGTCATAGACAAAAATTTGTCACTCTGTAAACACTAGGAACAAACACAACCTAGTGATACCGGTCTCTCGACTCCACATTGTCAGTAATTCATTCTTGGGGCAACGTACACGGTATTACAACAAAGTCCCAGAAAATATACGAGGTATCTCTATTGCCAACTTTAAATATTTAATTAAACAAAAGCTGTATGAAAAGGGTTATTAGAATATAAATGAATACATGGTTGATACATGGTTGACCCCTGGGAATGAAGTGGTCGCTTCCAAGCTGTTTCTAAATTAAATTTTGTAAATAGTTTGTAATCATTTATATTGTAAAATTTATTTAAAAAAAAGTCCCGCTGGATTTCTTGCTGGTTCTTCCCAGAACAGAGAATTTTTTTCGAACCAGTGGTAAAGTAAAAAACGACTTTCAATAAGAATTACTTATAATCAATATTAAATAAAAAAATATTCTATTCTATTCTATTCTAGCCGAAAGAACTGACTCGGCTCCTCGCCGTGTGGTAGCGGCGTAAAAAAAAAAAAAATACCACAACTTACTTTCGCACCATGAGGCAAAATATTAAAGAAATGGCCCCGAGTTCCCGGCGCCCCTTTAATGGGGCAGGGGTGCGAAGAATCTCCGGGAGGAAAACCGGCGACGAGGTTCGCCACCCGTCACGTTCTGTCTCCCGGAGGGGCGAAAAGTGGATTGCGGAAGCCCGTTTGGCTACATTGAACGTATGTGGAGGAATGAATGATAAGATGGATGAAGTATGCGATATGATGTATGATAGAGGAATAGACGTGTTATGTGTGAATGAGACGAAACGGAAGGGAAAGGATGCCACTACACATGGCATGTATACCGCGTACTGGTCTGGTGTAGACGAGACCGAGCGGGCATGCCAGGGAGTCGGTATCATCCTTTCAGAAAGAATGGGTCATTGTGTAAAAGAGTATGAATGTGTAAGCCCGAGACTGCTATGGATACGAATGAAAGTGGGCTTAAAGAAGTTGTTTGTTTTAGGGGTCTACGCCCCAGACATGTCTAAGCCCACTTATATCCGAGAGCAGTTTTGGGAGTTGGTAAGGATGGTGCTAATGAAATGCAAGGTTAATGAAAATATTGTGATATTAGGCGATTTTAATGGAAGGGTTGGGGTGAGGAGGCTTGGTTATGAAAGGATATTGGGAACGTTTGGTGATGAAAGTATAAATGAGAATGGTGAAAGCCTTCTCGCCGTATGCGTGGAAAAGAATCTTGTTGTGACGAACACTTTGTTTCGTCATAAGAAGATTCACACGTATACATGGGAAAGAGGTGATGATAGAAGTATGATAGATTTCATAATTGTTGATGAAAGAATGAGGAGCGCGGTGGTAGATACAAGGGTTTACCGGGGCTCTAACGTAGGGACGGATCATTACTTGGTCTTATGCCGAATTAATGGTCTTTTCAGACGTTGGAGGCATCGGACATCTGTGTCTACCACAGCGTTACAGCGTATAAAAACAGAGAGGCTACAAGATGAAGGTGTGAAAGAGAAGTTCAAATGTAGATTGAGAGAAAATATAAGTGGTATGGCTGAATTGTGTATGAATGATTTAGACTTGGAGACTGTGTGGTATAATGTCAAGAAAGGTTTAGTGGATGCAGCTACCGAAGTATGTGGTGTAAGCAAGAGAACAAATGAAAGGAAAAATAACACGTTATGGTGGGATGATGAGGTACGGATGGAAGTTGAAGCAAAGAAGAAAGCATGGCTAGATTTACTAGCAACCAAGGCTAGTAATTCTAGCAGTATGAATGATGATATTGAAAGGAAAAAGGCGGTTTTTAGACACCTAAATAAGAGAGTAAAAGAAGTAGTTGAAAGGAAAAAGCAAGAAAGAACGGATAAGAATGATAGAAGAATATCGGATAACTTCCAGGAAAACATTAAAATGTTCTGGAAACTCGTAAGAACTACCAGGGGACATTCACAACAGCCTAGAATGAATGCTATACGAGACCAGAATGGCTGTATTCTGAATGACGAAGTTTTGAGTTTAAGGAGATGGAAGGAATACTTTGAAAGCGTGTTTATGAGTGATGAGACGTTTGAATTAAATGAAATAGAAATTCCGAAAGAAGAGGAAATAGATAGAGATATAAGTATAGATGAAATAATGAAAGCAATGAAAAGTATGAAAGTAGGTAAGGCAGCTGGTTATGATAGAGTATCTCTCGAAATGCTAAGGGCTGGAGAAGAAGTGGTGGCAGACCTGCTGTACACCTTGTTTAATTTATGTTGGGAACTTAAGCGGGTACCGGGAGACTGGTGCAAAGCCGTGATAGTCCCAATATATAAGGGAAAAGGATCACAGCAGGACTGTAAAAACTACCGTGGTATCAGCCTTCTTAGCATTGTGGGAAAACTGTATGCTAAGGTACTAATTGAAAGAGTTATGAAAGAAACTGACGGAAAAATTTGGGATGTGCAAGCGGGATTTAGAAAGGGAATGGGATGTACGGATCAGGTCTTTTCCATGCGCATGATCGCCGAGAAGTTTTTGGCCAAAAACCAAAAAGTTTTTTGTGCGTTCATGGACTTGGAGAAGGCTTATGACAGAGTGGACAGGGATGTGTTATGGCAAACACTGAACTCATTTGGGTTGAGCGCTGGTCTGATACAGGCATTGAAGTCTCTATATAGGGACTCTAGTGCTTGTGTCAGGATCAACGGGGCCTACTCGGACTGGTTTGACATCCATAAAGGTGTCAGACAGGGCTGTGTGGCTTCCCCGTGGTTGTTCAACCTATTTATGGACAGTTGTTTGGAAAATTTGAAAGTAGAAGAATGCGGGTTAAGAATGGGTGAGTTAACCGTCAAATGCCTTTTGTACGCCGATGATCAAGTCATACTTGCGTCGTCGGCAGCCGAGTTGCAAATGATGGTTACATTAATGAACAGGACATTAAAAGAAAAGGGAATGAAAGTGAACGCAAGTAAGACGAAAGTTATGGTTTTTGAAAGAGAAGAAAGTAAAACGATATGTGAAATAAGAATAGAAGGGGAGTTGGTAGAGCAAGTAGATGAGTTTGTATATTTGGGATGTGTGTTTAGCAGGGATGGTAGATATGATAAGGATATAGAACGACGAGTGAATGCAGGAAATAGAGTGAATGGGGCTCTACACTCTATTGTGAAAAGTCAGAATGTGTCCAAAAAGGCACGTATGGCAATTCACAATGCTGTGTTAGTACCTACTTTAATGTATGGTAGTGAAAGTTGGGTGTGGCAGAAGAAGCATGAGAGTAGAATAAATGCTGTAGAAATGCGGTCATTAAGGAGTATGTTAGGGATGAAGCTGAATGACAGAGTGAGAAATTGTTTAATAAGAGAAGAGTGTGGTTTGCAAGATGATGTTGTGACCAGGATTAAGAAAGGAATGCTTCGGTGGTTTGGCCATGTAGAAAGAATGAATGAGGAAAGAGTGACAAAGCAAATTTATGTTGCAGAGGTGAACGGCATAGTCGGGAAGGGTCGCCCTAGGCGAAAGTTTATCGACCAAATTGGCGATATATTAAAAATGGGCCAAATCAAGAGTACCTTTAACCGACGAGCGTGTATGCGTAGGTATATGGATGTGGAGGAAGCGAGAGAGGTGTGTCAGGATCGTGCCAAATGGAAGTCCATAATCTCTGCCTACCCCTCTGGGTGACAGGCGTGAGTGTTTATGTTTATAGGTTTTTTTTATGTCTATTCTACCTTTGCATTTTATTAATAATTAAAAATACTATTTCAACAATTTTATTAATATTAATAATTTCCGTGTAGCGGTATATAAGTAAGCATAAAATGCTTGGGTTAATTAAGTGTCAATGTTTCTTCGTAAAAATAAATGAACATAGTTTTTTAACTACTTAATTGCCTCGTGCAACCTTTTCATACTTGTAACTACAGCAACATTATGCCACAGTATCCGATTATTACCTACCTCTTAATACTTTATCAAAGAAAAATTAATAAGATTGTTGGGCCTATATCACAGTTTAGATAATAGTTACTACGTAACCTATATACATAAATAAAGAGTATAATGGTTAGTAATCAACATCGATTAACTGTTTATAAAGACTGTAAACTCCATAGTTTTAACTATGACCTAGTTAAGCAAACTAGTCATTGAATATTTAAATTGGAATAAGATATTGAATAACTAATCTGTGTATATCACTGACGATTAACGATAATCGTCTAATAGATAAAATTGTCGTCGCCTGCTCAAGAAACTGTACAAATATTGTTATTACATATGTACCTTGTTGTTTTTACTAACTATTAAATATTGTGCTTTAATCAATTTATAATGTAGTCATTCCCTCCTCTTGATTCTCCTCATGTCTGAACATTACAGTTGCCATCCTGCTTACCAAGCGTAGCAACTATGGCCAACTATCCACTTTATGAGGTATTCATGAGGGTCCCCCATATATTGCTTCTATGTTCAGCAAAGGACTTTGACGGGCTGTAATGAACGTATTAATGAAAAAATAATATATTTTGCACCAGTAGTAGGATAAATTTATATTTAGTATTATAAAATGCAATAAATTTTACAAAAATATCTTATTTCTGCTGACTTCCATAAAGGAGACGGTACTCAATTCGACTGTATGTTTTTTATGTGTGTTACCTCATAACTGTTTACTGGTTGAACCGATTTCGACGATTCTTTTTTTATTTGAAAGCTGGTACTTCTCATGTGGTCCCATATAATCAAGGTCAGACCAATCGTTTTTGAGTGACTGACGACCAAAAGAGTGACTTTGTAAGTATTGTTTATAATCTATATTGAATAAAAAAGTTTCTGTTTCTGTTTCAGTTATTCTTAATAACTTATAATGAAGTCAGCTGTACAAAATTTTTAATTTTAAATTATATTAAATTGACACACATTATTATTTATTACTTGTACTCCACAGACTGGGGCAGTTTTATGAAGCTAGGCTCAGCAGGGTGTGTACCAACCCTCCAAAATATGCATATTTACTGGCACACTTCTATCAATAGACTTTCCAGGCTAACGATGAAGACAATTACTTGTATTTCATAAATAGTCAGGTATACCTCAAAACTTGAAAACGAGACTGTACACCCAGTGCGTGTTGCCAGTGATGACATACGGAACTGAGACGTGGTCCTTCACTGCTGGCCGGATGAGGAAGCTCAAGGTCGCTCAGCGAGCTATGGAGAGGGCTATGCTCGGAGTTTCTCTGCGTGATAAACTCAGAAATGAGAATATCCGCAGTAGAACCAGAGTGACCGACATAGCCCAACGGATTAGTAAGCTGAAGTGGCAATGGGCCGGCCATATAGCTCGAAGAACCGACAACCGATGGGGAAGAAAGGTTCTCGAGTGGCAGCCTCGTACCGGCAGGCGAAGTGTAGGGCGTCCCCCCACTAGATGGAGTGACGACCTGGTAAGATATGCAGGAAGTCGATGGATGCAGGTGGCTCAGGACCGTGCTTTGTGGCATTCTTTGGGGGAGGCCTATGTTCAGCAGTGGACTTGTGAAGGGCTGTAATGATGATGATGATAATGATTGCGTATGACACAAAGAAGTCTACAAGTTAACTAAAGTTTGTGCTTGTGTACAGGCTGTTTGTGAATCACTCCCGAAAACGAAGACAGACGATAGTACTAACGATACCTTTGATGATGGGTCAGAAAGAAAATCGATCCCGAGGACAAAAAAATCATCTTTTCACAACGTTTTATCAATTGCTATCCGTTGGGCTTGCAAAAACTCGAAAATGACTGGAACGATTTTTATGATTTTTGTGTGTGTGTTTGAGTTGGATGATCAAAGCGATTCACAAATGGAACCGGCAGATGGCGCTGTTGTCGGGATCCAGAAATCAACCGTGCGAAGCCGGGACGGATCGCTAGTTATACATAAAAATTAAAGCAAAGTAACAACATACATACGTGCTGCTGAGCAACCTCTTATTATTTTTGAGTGATGAGGAACAAGCAAGATTCCACTGCGCTACCCCAATGTATAGTGACGTAGTTCAATGCCCTCTAAATAAAGTTTTGTTAGAAATGCAAGTTTCTATACAAAATTATGCGAAAATATGAATTTCCTTCACGATAACGGTGAAATTTTCACAAGCCACATTTTCAATTCGAAACTTAATAAACATTGCGGTTCACAATGTCAGTAATGAGAGCGGTAACGGAACTCAAAAGTAAAGGCAACCGCGCAACCTCTGAGCTACCACGACTGTTCGTATAGAATACATAACGAATATACGTATACATAAGTAGGATTCTTTACAACCGCTTCATGGATAAAAAAATTCCCACACCAGACTACTGTATATAGACTCTACTTTTTTAAAACTTCTACTCATGAACATGACAACATATCCCAAATAATTTCATTCAAGAATGGTTGTATTAGGAAACCTAAATATTTTCAATTCTGTATTTTTAATTGAACTTCAAATCGCACCAACGTTCATTTTTTAAATTTATGCGCCGCTGAAAATTTTCTGATTTTATCCATAGTCGAATTTAACGAAAATACTCACAGCGCGATGAGTGATGGATTTTCTTACAAAGTACAACCAAAAATAAATATCATATTTCTAGCCAATATATTGTTATGAATATCATCTAATAATCACAAGCAGTTCGTATTATACAGTACAGTTGAGTCGCGGTAATTCGACAAACGTTTTGCAAGGCGGTGTCGGATTATCAAATTTGTCAGACTATAGAGTACTGCCACAGCCCCCGGGTACTTTTATGAAAAAGACTGTACTTACTACATCTTATAGGCATGTCGGATTACAATAATGATTCTATATGTAATCTAATCCTGTCCTGTCTAATCCGGCAGGTACGGGAGTGCATGCCGGATTAGACAGGGGCAGTTTACCGCGGGTCCACTGTATAGGAAAGTAATTTCAACCTTTTTATGGATGTAGTCAAACACCAGCTTCTCGACTTCTTCAGGCTCTTGGTTGGGAACAATGCGTATGGAAAATTTCCCGATGACCTTTCCCGGAATCACGGTCTTTGCACCTGGTTGGAACGCAGCACCTGTTATCAAACCAAAATAACACCTTTTTTTAAATAATTAAATAAAAATATGCACATATTATAATAAATAAATATAAGCTACACATTTAATTTGTATTGTAATTTGTATAAAGTTGTCACTAATTCGTATATTTCCTGGGAAAAAACTTCAAGGGATTATATAAAAGGATATTGAAACCAATTTAGTGGTTTTTAGTAGTGATTTTTAGTTTGATTCCACAGAATTACAGTTTTTATAATCCAATATTGACCGTGCAGTTGCGGTGTAAGAATATCTACTACCCCATACCGACCCGTGGGTGTCGTAAGAGGGGGTAGAGGAAAACAAACCAGGAGATGGGCAGCAGCGTCTTCGTAATAATAACTAAAATAAAAACATCTGCGCTTGCCAACCGTACTGCCAAGTGTGGCATTTGTGGCAAATATCTCTATGAGGCAATCAATGCGTAGCCCTGTTTCCAGCAGTTGATTTTAATAGGCTATGACGGTAACGGTATAATCAAATATACGATATTATAAGTAAATAACTAACGTTTTATAAGTATGAGCGCTTTACCATCTTCGGTTTCGTCACCAAAACTACTAGATACATTTCCAAAAAATTTGTTATGTAGATGGGTATTGACGCTGGGTAACAAATACCTAAGCACAATTTTTTATATTCGATTATGAAACATATAATAATTTAAAATTAAAAATTTTGTACAGCCGACTTCAATATAAGTTATTAAGAATAACTCAAAAAATATTGGTCTGACCTTGATCAAATTCATAAGGGACCACACAAGAAGCCAAATACCAGCTTTCAAATAAAAAAAGAATTATCGAAATCGGTTCACCCAGTAAAAAGTTATGAGGTAAAATAAAGAAGTAAAGTAAAATAAAATAAAAAAGTAAAGTAAAAAGTTACACATAAAAAAAATAACATACAGTCGAATTAAGTACCGTCTCCTTTTTGAGAAGTCGGCAGAAAATAGAATGGTGTAGGGGATGTGATTTTCCTTTCTTTAGAATTTAATTCTGATAATGGTTTACTAATGATTTCCCCTATGCCCGGTTACTATAATCAAAGAACGTTGCGTTTTTAGTACGACTTGTAAAATTAGGTGCAAAGTACATCATTTTTTTTAATTAAAAATACTAGTAATGCTATTAAAAATACTAGTAATGCTATTAAACATTACTAATATTTCCTTTAACCACTTCTGGTAAGCTTAAAATGCTTGTGTTAGAAGTGGTTCACGACAGTAGAACCCACGACCTTTCGAGTTCGCGATCCGCGCCCTGCCATTAGGCTACTGAAGCTTCTAATCATGTACAAATCGTTACTATAACAACCCGTTAGACGTCTAAACAAGACTTAAAGCGTACGGATGGTGGGGCTTCCAAGGAACGGACTGTTACGCAAATGTATGGAAATAATACAATACACTCACTATACGAAACACAGGAACATTGAGTCGCTATTTTACGCTGGTATTATGTGAGAGTGAGGTCCTACCCCGGCCAAGCCAACCCATTCGTGCTTCAACCATAATATAGCTGCAGCGTGGCTGTACCACGTATGTATAATTCAATTTTCCTCTGTTACCTCTTACGACACCCACGGGATGATACAGAGTAATGAACATTCTTAAACCGCCACTACATGGATATAAAACATATACAGTGCACATAATATAACTTACCTTCTATGCCATGCAAGGAAAGGCTGGGGTATCTCCACCGGTGCATCAAAAGTTGCTCTTTGTCGCCGTTGTGTGCTAGTTTGTAAGCGTTTATTGTACGTCTACAAACAAACAATTTCGTTTTCGTTCAACAAGTTTGACCTTCACTTTCAATATTAATCAATCACGTCGTACAATGTAACGCATAAATTTTGAGCTTAACTGCGGTCGGAGATGAAACTGTGGTCTATTCATGCATTTTCCTTGTACAATGTTTTCTTAAGTTTACGCGAATGATACACACGCAGGAAATAAATTTATTTTTCAAATTTATCGTGTTTAATCTACATAGTTCCTGGCGACCGAGCTGCGTTCAGCGTTGGAAAAAATTATAATTTTGTCAGGGATCGAAAATGTACTCCAGACGGAATTTCGGTCACGGAGGCCAGTCTTAAAGGCGAATAGCCATCTGCGCAGGACAGGTTTATAGTGCCCGAGTGTAAACGCAAGCACGGGTGCACTCTCTATTCCCTTACTCTCATAGTCCGACGGGACGGTAAACCGACACGACCGGAGAGAGATCATGCGCAGGACCAACGGCTTTGCGTGCGTTCCGTGGCATGGGGGTACAACACCGTCTACTTTCTGAGAATTGCTTCCCAATAACTGATTCTTTTACCTGACCTGGGATTCCAACCAGCGCCTCACGATCAGCAGTCACGCTTATGACCACTATACGGTTGCCAAACCTAAATTTAAAAAACTAGGATTTGAAGTTGGAAAAACCAGGACAATTCAGTTTAAAAACAGGACGCAGTTAAAGTCTTGTCAAACATAACTGCGAACCGAACCGAACCGACAAAGTGACGAATGTATGTACTATGTATGCAAGTATCTGTTCGCTTTCGCTTTTTATATGCGACTAGATTCAAACGATACCATACATAACAAAATAAAAACGCCGCGAAGCCGCCCGTAGCGTAAGAACTTTAAAATAAGTACATCATAACCTTATCAGGGCGCTTTAAAACCCCAGGACGCTACTTAAAAACTATCCAGGACATCCCAGAACACTACAAAAACTAGGACATGTTCTGGGAAAACAGGACGATTGGCAACCCTACACTATACCAACGAGACAGTTTTTTGTTCTCACATGGCACCTATTTAGATAAATAATTATATAAATATGTATATGTATGTCGTCGGCAGATTGTATGAATCGTCATTATACAAAGAGCGTCGCCTGTTTGCAAGCGCTCGCTGGCGTGTGAAATGCCGGAGGCAAATTGATATGTCGTAGTCCAATCGTAAAAATGGGCAGATCATGATGTGCCTGGGAATTTCATGATTTGCCCGATAATTTATCCGCCATTTAAAAACCATGTGGCCGTTGAGAAAAGTAGCTTAGACTTTAAGATTCTATATATTTTTATAATTTGAAAAATCTTAAAAAATTTAAATAACATGCTTTTAAATATCCTTGTTGTATGTTCTGTCAGATGTGTTTAGTCCATTGCCACTTCAGCTTGCAAATACGAAAGCTATGTCTGCCGACGCACGGCGCCCGGTAGCAACTGGATTCTTAGGTCGGACTAAGTGGCGTGACTTGGGAGAAGCCTATGACTAACAGTGAAATGCCGCAGGATGATGATAATTGTGATGATGATGATGATGATATTTTAACACAATCTAATGAGGAGGCTCTAAGGCTTTTTGTTGCCATTGCATTATTGGCTTAAACGGATCCACACTCCCATCCACAATGGCATTCATAGTAATTTGACGGCGTCTATCTTTCACAATCTGGGCGTCTTCAAGGCAAGAGAGAATAGGCTTTTGTAACGCTAAGACAGTGCGACTTACCATCGAGGGCTGCATCACCACTTACCACCAGGTGGCATTGTGGTTAAGCACTGGCTTATAAAAAGTGAAAAAAAAACCGTATAAAAAAAAATATATTAAAAAAACCCCAAAAAATCTTTAGCTATATATCTAAAAAAAAGAAACGATTAACAATCTTTCATTATCTGCTAATTATACATAGAAACAATTAATGTCGATTACATTGATAAATGATTACTGTCGTCAGCGTACTTTGAATGTAATAGTACAAATTTATCATTGAAAAGATTGAGATAAAATACGATAATGACTTGTTTTTATGTCCCTACGTTATTGCCAATCAAAAAAGCACTAAGATAAAATCAATGGGTTTTATCTTGCATATTATTCTTACATAATATTGCAAAATGGGCACTAAGCACAATGAACTAATTCGTTAACTTTTAACAAAATGATAACAGTAAAATTAGAACTTTTAATTAAACTAAGTTTAAATTAAATTCAACTACATTGTTATTTTAAACACTGTAGTGATATTATATACAAAAAAAATATAATCGCAACAGATTTAGACAATTTCTATAAATATAAAGCAACAATCAAAACCGAATCAAAAGATTGTGTTTGTTTGTGTTGTGTGAAAATCTTATAAACTACCTATATATTAATATACTTATATCCTACCTACCTACCTACGTATTAATATACTTATATCCAAAAAAATATTTCGCCAATTAAGAAACACCATCAATTTGGTTCCATATAAAGAAATATATTTATGTTAAGCATACAGATATTGCTTAAAGATTGCCACATTTTACAATCGCAATCAAAATCACAAAACAATATTTTCAATTATTTTTATTAATGCTTCCTTTAAGGTCACATAAAATTATGTAATATGTTTGTACTTACAACATTGTGTGGTTATTATTTAATAATTAAGCATTGTATTGTGTAAAATACTAAGAGTTATAATTAGTAGGTTGTAATTACCTGTATGCCTCGGGGTCGAAATCAATACTAGCATAAAGTTGTTTCTCATTCTCGGTCAAGGGTGCCACGGACTTGTAAATATCCGTTATTAAAATTTTACCGTCTTTGTCTACCAGTTGGTCCATGAGATATATTAAATCTGACATAGCTAGAAAATTAACGAAAATATATTGGATATTTTAAACAGACGTACCTTAGTTGTCAGTTGAAAGTTGATGATGTGGCCACCTGATGTTAAGTGGATGCTGTGACCCATAGAATCAAAATGCATATAATGATATAATACGAAACACACCAGGATTAAGCTGCTATTTTATGCTGGTATTCTGTGAGAGCGGGGTCCTTCCCCGGTCAAGCCAACCCATTCGTGTTACAACCATAATATAGCTATATATGGTAGAGCTAACCACATAACTAGTACGCAAATAAAGTGATTTTTTTTATTCTTACTACATAGATACAAATTACAAGAGTTGGCACAAGCAAGAACACAATCGTTCCAATTTAACATAGTATTACGCTTATTAAATAAGTCTAAAATATATATCATATTTAAAATATACAGATACAAACTAGACATGGAGCAAGTAGTGATTCGCCGAGTACTCGGCCACCGTGTACTCGGCCTAAATTGGGCCGAGTACTCTGCCGAATACTCAGCTTTAAAAAAAACGCGGTAGCAGGCGGCGTGCGGTTATTTCCCTTACAAACTAGACCCAAATAGGGCCGAAAAACTAACGTTTTTGCATCATAATTTTCCTCCCTTAAATTTTAAATATTAGTAATAATAATTTCTATTATAGATTCTTATGTATGTTCTAAATATTTCTGCTGCTTCCCATGTTCCTGATGTTTTAATGTCTCTAATATAATACTAATGATAAAAAATGGCTTATTGTCTTTATTTTTCTCTGGAATATAATTAAGGCCGAGTACTCGGTACTGGGCCGTTAATACTCGGTACTCGGCCGTTAATACTCGGTGCTCGGCCGAACCCTAAAAAAGGCCAAATCCGCCTAGTACCGAATCCAAACCGAGTACTCGTCCCATGTCTAATACAAACTCTAAATTTTAAAGTATAATAATATATTGTATGATGTATAATTCAGTAACATGTAGAGACCGCCGACCTGCATTGGAGCAGCAGAGCAAACACGAGACATCAACAACCTTTTCAAAAGTTTAAGCTGTTAGCACTGTAATGAGACAGTTCTTCATCAGTCGCTTACAGTCCACAACTAGACATAGGCCTCTTCCACTTTAGGAATAAAATGTGATAATCGTTACACTTGGCATGCTTGGCACGATTGGTGATCCCAATACCAGCGGGGTTAGCCAAGTTGACTTTCCACAATCGTTAACACTAATAAGAAACTATAAAATGAATGGAAATTACTTAACTCAATGTTAAGACACATGATATCATGTTGATTTTAATCATTCCGACTATTGACCGACATTAAGATTGTAATATTCCTCAGTCCACACAAAAGGGTAAAAAAAATAACTTTCAATAAAAAATTAAAGCACTTTTAATACCGAACTAAAAAAAATTGTATTTGTGAAATTTATGTATGTAAACTGTAAAGTGTATAGGATATGTTTTAAAAAAAGAATTACATTCTGAGGTTGGGTTTTTAATTATTTTATACACTATCTTAGCAACGACTTCAAAATGTGATTTTTTAAATTCTTTTTAGTTATGTAAAGTCAGCTTTTACTTTTTGTTAAACATTTTAACTTTTGAGTTTTCTATTAGCGTTAACGCGATCAAGATCAAGTCAACTTGACAAACTCCGCAGATGTGTTGCACTTAATGTTGCTTCCCCCCGTCGATCAATCCATGTAAGTAAACTAAAAAATGAAGTTGACTTACCTTCATGAACTGTTCCTCCATACACACCACTATGAAGATCATTCTTAGCACATTCTACTTCTAAAAAGTAGTAACTTATGCCTCTTAGTCCATAGGTAATGCAAGGCTTTGTGGTGCCCAGCCAATAGTTATCAGAAATGCACACATAATCAACATCCTTAAAGAACCCTTCTGGTTTCAGTTGTTCTATGAGTAATTCATCAAGACCTTCAGAGCCTGATTCCTCCATACATTCAAACACAAACTTTAAATTTACAGGCAGCTATAAGAAAAGAATTGAACTAGTAAGAGAATATAGAATTTGATACTCTTATGGGCTTACAATAATTTAAAGTGTTTCATCAAGTATAGCTGAAGCCACAGCATGAACCAGTGATTTGCAAAGTACTTTACTTGTACTTTCAAGTCTTACGAGTATTTCAAGCACTGCACCTGGTCGGGGTACTTATTTACAAGTCAACAAATATTATCTATTCCCCTACTTATCAAATACTTCATGTTAATAGGTTGCTACATCTTCTTTTATCTGTCCGAGAGGATTTAATTTTAAAAATTATTTAAATATCTTTAATTTGGAGTGGTTAAAGCTGTTTCGGCTCAATATTTCGTTTTTTACGATTTCCAAAAATATAGGTACATATTGTAATTCCTTGAATTATTTTAGCATAATTATATTGGCAGTACTACCAATATAAATAACTAACAATTTTTTTTAATTAATTGTAGAAATGTCAATAAAGAATAAAGTAATAAAGGTGCAACCATGTTTTCTACAATTAAATTATGTGCATGCAAATTACAAACCAGTGCCTTGGCCTTTTTGAGTATTTTTATATTAATAGTATTCAAATAGTAACATATCTTCTCTATTTTAATTCTTATAATTATTTCTAGTATTTAAAAATACCAGTGTGTTATTATAATAGTTAAAATATTTTTTTGAAAAATGACAAAATATATATGCACCCTTTTTACTCACATAATATAAAAAAATTAAAAAGTTAAAATTAAATGTAAATTAATAAAATAAAAATACATATACAAACCTCTTCCCCAACACCTTTATATGCATTAATGGCATGAAGCCAACCAAGAACTGGACCCTTATCATCTGTGGCACCTCGGCCAAATAACTTCCCATCACGCTCTTGAAGCTCAAATGGTTCCGAATTCCAACCATCGGACTTCAATGCTGGTTGAACATCTAAGTGGCCATAAATACAAATAGTATTCTTTTTGGCATCCTAAACAAAATTCAATTATTTTAACTATATTAATAAAACAATATTTCAATAATTTAAAGAACGAGTATCATGCTAAGAAAATATAGAATGGTCTATAACTGTTGTATCAATGATACAAGGCACACGAGGGCTTGCTATGTTACTTACTGACTTAAGTATTACTCTCATAATTTTAGGATAAAATGGTACATCATCATTTGCCAACTATTGTGAATAATAGGCAAAATTATTTAGAAAAAAATAATCATAAATAATCCTTTATTTTAGTGAAAAATGTAAATATGAAAATAGTTTTGGACAACAATTTGCAATATGTAGGAGGGAAAGTCTAAAAGTTCACAGAATGTAAGGGGAAGGGAGTGAAATTAAATGTGGAACTATTCTTCCTTTTCAATATATTCTTCATTTACCTTAATACACTTCTCAGACCATTCAAATAACTTATTTATACCTTCGAAAAAAAATGTTTTGCCAAGGCCCTCAATATAAATAGATGAAAACTTGTGCATTTTCAACAAACTAAGAACTATTATTTTATCCTTCTATTTTAATAAGCGACTATACGAAGCATCTGATTTTGTACCAGAATCATAAAATCTGCCAAGCACAGCTGTTTCTTTCATTCATCATCATCATTAAAGCCCTTAACAAGTCCATTGCTGAACATAGACCACTAACAAAGAATGCTACAAAGCATTGTCCTTCGTCACCTGCATCCAAGGAATCCTGCACGACTTACCGGGGCAACAATCCATCTAGTGAGGGGCCACCCTACACTACGAGGCTGCCACTCGAGAACCTTTCTTCCCCATCGGTTGTCAGTTCTTCGAGCTATATGACCGGCCCATTACCACTATACTAGCTAATCTGTTGGGCTATGTCCATTTCTCTGTTTCTACTGCGGATGTACTCATTTTCAGTGAAACCCAGAGCATACCCCTCTCTCTCCATAGCTCGCTGAGCGACTTTAAGCTTCCTCATATGGCCACCAGTGAAGGACCATGTCTCAGATCCATAAGACCTCACTGGCAACATGCTCTTGTTGTACAATCTTGTTTTCGGGTTTTAAGAGATTTTTACAAGAATAAATAACTTCTAATGGGGACAATAATTTCATATTAGGTGCAACACCACCTCCCAAATGTTCAAAAGCAAGACCCTGTGTAGTGATTACTAAATTTGTCATCTTCACATGTTTACAACAAAATTTGTTACAACAGGTGACAAATTTTGAATTTATCAATATGATCAGGAAACAAAATGGCAGTATGTGTTTTGGCAGTTTCAAGTTGAACCAATGCTTACCAAAGTGAAGCGATTGAAAAGCCCAGAGAAGTTTGTGCTCACGGGATTTTAGACTTTAACGGAACATCTGGTATCAATTTGACAACACATCGGAAAAAAGACAGAATGCTCTTTTTTATTAAGAGCACTATTTATTTTACTGTCTGTTTCTTGGTTCACCTTACCTAATATAAAAGGCTAGTAGATGGATTTTCATGGGAGAAATTAGTAAGTGGGTTGGAACTTTTTCAGAATGCAGTTTCTTTAATAATATTTTCCTACAATGATTAATATCTTAAATAATATTTATTTTAATTAAAGGGGATTCATTAATTAAGTTTAACTATCAGTATTCTGAGTATAATATACAATAATTATAAATACATAAAAATTCGTGTAGTGTTGGCTTCTATACAAACAACAACATTTAGTAGCTTAGTATCATTAATAAAATCTCTCATATCGATACTCACCTTTCCTAGTGATCCGATTAGTACCGGTGGTAACTTAACTTCTTTGCCATCTATTGTTTGAAAACCTACATCTCTAAGCTCTGTAGTCGCTCCGACTTCTTGCAACTTGTTCTTCATCCAATTCACCATACGGACACAGTCTTCCCTGTATTTAATATCAGAAGACACCGAAGGGATAGCCACTGCTTCTTTAAGAAGCTGCTTATAGGAATCAACATTTTGATCCACAAATTTAAAAATTTGAGGTAATGTTTTATCCGGCATTCTTTTAGAAACTCGAACAGATGTTGAAAAAGAGCTATAATACAAATTAAAATGTGGAAATTTACAAGCTATTATTGGCAGACTGGTTGCCGGCAACCTAAACCTAGCCTTAGCAGCCTTACAAATACTTATCAATGAAGTGGTCATTCTCATTCGTTTCACTATATTACATATCAACATACCATAGATAATAGATAACTATGAGAACACAACGTATCCTCTTAGTAGTCTGTGGAACAAAACAGACAACCTAGCACTTCTTACTAGTTTGTGCAGACAACTATAAAGTGCTGCCAGAACCAATGCAATTTGTAATTGCCAATGATATTTTATACAAAAAGAAGCAGATATGTATTAGCGCGCGCGTAGTGAACTAGTAAATACTCAAAAAAACATAATTGGGACGTTTTGTCTTTAGATCGAGTCACGCAGGGCGGCGATAAAGACGCTGTATAGAAAATTTTAACAATAATAAAAATGCCAAGGTGTGTATTTAAAAGGTGTAACTATGATACTATTATGATTCTAAAGTTAACAAAACACAAGAAATCGCATATCACATATAAGTATGCAATATACTTCGATTTACCAGTATATTTCAATTATATTCCTAACTAGCTGTTCCCTCGACTTCGCCTGCGTGGAATTTATTACGATTGGATTTATGGAATTTAATTTTTAGCGTGGAACCCGAATTCGTTTTTTAAAATAAAAATAGCCTAAATTACTCCTTATAACATCAGCTACCTGCCAGTGAAAGTCCCATCGCAATCGGTATAGCCGTTTCGGAGATTAGCCGGAACAAACAGACAAACAGCTAGAATAAAAATTTTAAAATTGTTTTTGTTAATAGTTCCATGTATACTATCATATGTATTTAGTAACAAGCTGTTATTTTGACCTTACAAACAGACACTACAATTTTATTTATTTGTATAGATATTTTAATTTCTGGAGGTTAGAAAAAATAACTATGGTCGCCAACCCAACTGGCAAACGTGGCAGCTATAGCAAATGGGCGATATTACAAGTTATTCTTTAGCAAATGGGAAGCATTTGTTTAGCTAAACAAATGCTTCCCATTTGTTTAGCAGTGAAATTGTCATGGGTTGTAATAAATCATTGAATGTATGTAACTTAGGCATAAAAAGAAAAACAAATGAGTCAGAGTTTGGTTTCGTAAGGTTTGCTATAACCCGAAAGTATCCATAAAAATCACTTACTTTGTATATTTTATATATGCCATTCCTTATTTATAAAAATGTTAACAACAAAATAGCGTTTATAAAAGAATAATCTCGAAACGGTTTCAAAATGAGCATGGCTTATACTTTTTTTACATACAGAATTGCCGTAGAACATGGTAATTTTTGTAGTAATGGCAGCACTGCTAACATAAAAGTCGTAGACTATAACATCTATCTGTCAGTATGACAGTGTGCTGTCTATACTTATTATACTCTTTGGTCCTTAACTATGGAGCACAGAGTACATTATATATAGGGAACTATGGAGTGTAGAGGGTAAGGAGAACCATCTCTGTGTATGAAAAGTGTCCGTAAAAACGCGTCCAATAAGGGTAGCGCTGCGATAGAATAGAATAAATAAAAAAAGCGCCTAAAGTAATTAGAACAAGATGGAGAAATAAACAAGAATATACACTTTGCATGGATTGAATTATTTTAAATTCGATTTCTCAATCAGATTCATCATCATCATCATTACAGCCTTTTACAAGTCCACTGCTGAACATAAGCCTTCCCCAATGAATGCCACAAAGCACGGTCCTGAGCCACCTGCATCCATCTACTTCCTGCATGTCTTACCAGGTCGTCACTCCATCTCGTGGGGGGTCGCCCTACACTTCACCTACCGGTACGAGGCTGCCACTCGCGAACCTTTCTTCCCCATCGGCTGTCGTTTCTTCGAGCTATATGGCCGGTCCACTGCCACTTCAGCTTACTAATCCGTTGGGCTATGTCGGTTACTCTGGTTCTACTGCGGATATCCTCATTTCTAAGTTTATCACGCAAAGAAACCCCGAGCATAGCCCTCTCCAATAAGTCCCTCCGAACTTAATGTCTAAGTTCGGAGGGACTTACGCAACTTTAATACTGCTCGTATTGAAGAAGCGATGGAGCGGAACCAGGGCTCCAAAGTCTTTGCTAGAGATCTGTCTGCCAGAAAGAGCCAACTGTCAAAGCTAAAGACCAAGTGTGGCAGCATCGTTTCCGGGACACCTGAGATTTTGAGTGAGATTGAGAGGTTCTATGGTCAGCTGTACACGTCATCGTTGGAGCCACACGCAAGTGTGAGTAACGATCCAAGAGCGAGTCTTATCCGACACTATTCCGAAGATATCCTGGACGTCAGTCTGAGCGAGATTAGAATGGCTCTCCAGCACCTTAAAAACGGAAAGTCCCCGGGCGAGGATGGAATTGGAATGGAAAACCGGTACTTGAAGTCCCTCAGAAGATCTTTAATTCCGTCCTCCATGGTGACACTACTCCGGAGGCGTGGAGCAGAAGTGCGGTGGTCTCGTTCTTCAAGAAAGGCGACAACGCTCTCTTGAAGAACTACAGACCGATTTCCCTTCTACGCCTCGTCTACGTGCTGTTTTAGAGTCATTACGAATCGTCTCGCACGCAGACTTGACGACTTCTAGCCTCCCGAACAAGCCGGTTTCCGAAAAGGCTTTAGTACCATGGACCACATACACACCCTTCTCCAAATTGTACAGAAGACAGACGAGTACAATCTGCCACTTTGCCTTGCACCTATGTGGACTATGAGAAAGCCTTTGATTCCGTCGAAATTCGGGCAGTGCTACAGTCCCTTCAGCGGTGCCAAGTTGACTGTCGGTATATCGAAGTGCTGAAGTGTTTGTACAGTAGAGCTACGATAGCTATCCGAGTACAGAATCAGAGTACGAAACCTATCCATCTGCAGAGAGGTGTAAGACAGGGTGACGTTATATCCCCGAAACTCTTCACCGCTGCATTGGAAGACGTTTTCAAGCTGCTGGACTGGAAAGGATGCGGTATTAACATCAATGGCGAGTACATCACTCACCTTCGATTTGCCGACGATATAGTCCTTATGGCAGAATCGCTGGAGGACCTAAGCACTATGCTCAATGACCTCAATAGTGTCTCCCAACGGATAGGTCTTAAGATGAACATGGACTAAACAAAAATCATGTTTAACGTCCATGTCACACCTATGCCGGTAGTTGTTGGGAGCACTAAGCTCGAAGTTGTTAACGAGTATGTTTATCTGGGACAAATAGTCCGACTAGGTAAGTCCAACTTCGACCGAGAGGTCAATCGACGGATTCAACTCGGCTGGGCAGCGTTCGGGAAATTACGACACATCTTCTCGTTAGACATACCTCAAAACCTTAAAACGAAATTGTACAACCAGTGCGTGCTGCCGGTGATGACTTACGGATCAATCAGATTGTCGTAAATTAAATAAATAATTCACAAAAATTACTCAACATACATTAAAATTTACTTATTTTGACTATATAAATAGTTGAGGTATTATATACTGCCATTTTACTAACTACTCTATGTCATGAATTTTTTTTTAATTCAGCACACTTCACTCTGTCTACAGCAGCTATTTTCATATCATAGTTTTTCAGACGCCAGCGCTATTGTGGTAAGTTTTGGAACCTCTATTTTCAGTATACAGTTGGGCACTTTTTCAACTTTCCACCATATAAGATGGTTTTCCTTACCTCTATACTTCATGTCCTTAACAAAAAATTTATTACAACAGAGACTCCGTTACAGAGTAGAGATGAGACATATTTGCAAATTTAATACCAGGGCTTCTAAGTACGAGTATGGAAAAATACCAGGGTCGAAAACCAGGATTTAAAAATACTTGAAAGTATTACTACTTTACTACTATTGTATTAAACAAAACTTTTACTTTCTCGAATATAAACATAATTCTTATTACTTACGCAACGTGTCCAGCCGTGGTGTCAGTCTAAAAATACTTGCATAGGAATTCGACCCGTTTTCCATGTTAACCTACTATTAATAAGGAGCAGTCGTATAAATAAAAAAAAAAAATACTCTGAAGTTCAAAGTATTTTTTATTCACAATTACGATTGAATTCCTTATTCCTATCAAGATATGGATTATTTTCCTATGCAAGTATTTTCATGTGTAGTGCTCAAGTTCTTCGAGCATCTGACTTACAACACATACTTTACTTTCATACTTGCAAGTATTTTGCTCGTAAAAGGGCGCCGTACTTTGAAGAGAAAACCTGGTAGCGTAAATACGTCTCATTGCGACGCGAGCGACGTGTCCAGCCGTGGTGTCAAAATTTCAAAAAACTTGCATAGGAATTTGACCCGTATTCCATGTTATCCTAATATGAATAAGGAGCAAAGTCGTATAAATAAAAAATACTTTGAAGTTCAAAGTATTTTCCATTCACAAATACGATTGAGTTTCTTATTACTATTATGATATGGATCATTTTCCTATGCAAGTATTTTCATGTATAGTGTTCAAGTTCTTCGAGCAACCAACAACACAATTTCATACTTGCAAGTATTTTTTGCTCGTACCAGGGCACCGTACTTTGAAGTGAATACCTGGTTTTAAAACCTGGTAGTGTAAATACGTCTCATCTTTATTACAGAGTTTTGGCGGGAACTTGACCGAAGGCGGATTGCTGCTCCTGTAATAATGGCTTTAAGTGGATTTTGATGTCTAAAAGTGGTGCGATTTTGTGTATTAAATGTCTGCGCATGTGAAATGTTAGTGGAAACGGTGAAACAAATGCTCCAATGGTGATGTAAATCCTAAGATAAGGTGTCTGTCTTCCAGTTCCAAAAACATGTTACAAAATAGCAGTCTGTTACTACAGTCTTGGTAAATACTTCTCTTTGTAAGGTGTTGTGAACCTATGCGAGAAAAGAACAGAGCTTGTGACAACTATAACAGGGGGTGTCACAGTTTTTATCTTATTC